ACGAAGGCGGTAGTGGCCTTCACGACCACGACGGTGCCGGAGAGGCCGGCGGCGGTCTGTTGGAGCCGCTGGTGCCGACCGGGGACACGACTGTGCTGTAGTCGTGTCTCCTGTTCGTGTTTTGTGGTTGGCTGGTGTCGACCGCGCTTTAACTGGCTGACTAATGAAAACACGTCAGTCTCAAGTGCGGCGGAAAACGGAAAAAGGGCATGACCTGGGACCCCTTGACCTGTGTGTGTGTGTGTGTGTGTGTGTGTGTGTATCGTTACTGGTAGCATCGACCGCGGCAACCGGCTGACCAATGACAGGACGTCAGTCGCAGTGCGGTGTTTGTGCGTGTGTGTGTGTGTGCAGTTTGTGTCGATATCAAATAGGTTGGCGTTCGTTAGGGTACCTCGTGCCGGCCGCGTACGCACGCAAGCACGCACGCACGCACGCACGCACGCCCTGGAGGTTACAAGACGATACGCGCGGGTTATTGTTGCGTGCATTGAAAATGTTGCCATGGAAAGATTCGGGAGGCAGACGCAGTTGTCGCCAATCCGATGTTTGTCTACGTCCTCTCGGTTGTGAAGCGATTGAGCACGGAAGAAATGGGCGAGGGTAGTCGTAGGCACGCGTGTGCATATGTCCTACAACCCGTGCACGGTCAAAGCCGCGCTCTTTGTGCCTCGTTGTTGCCGTGGTCCGTGGGTACTAGAAATGGTTGGGGTTGTTTTCATTTTATCGACCCAAAACGATTAAATGTTTAAATTTTTGTCGCGAAGACGTTTTCGATTCCGATCGTCCGAAAGGAGAGATTGATTGGTGACAAGAAACGATGGGAAGACACCTCCCTTGCTTGCACGTGGTCAGCTCGCTCGACGACAGCCTCACTGAAGATTCTGAACATTCTTGGGTCGGGCGATTGGCCAGCGTCGTTTGTGGTCCAAGCTGCTGCGCGTGTTCCTGTGTGGATGAATATACTGCAGCATCAGTTCCTTTCTCTCTTACACGCATTCACTCACAACGAACGATAGGGAGAAATTACGTACAAGTTGGTTCTCTATTAAGATCCGACCAAGACTGAGGCATTTGGATTGGAAGCAGCTGCGCTTTTTTGTCCACCGTGTGCATGAAGAAATCTCGAGAGCGTTGATTGAAGAAAACAACGCGAGTCGGTTTTCAGAGTAGACAACAGGAGGTGTATACCAAAAACTACCGGTTCTTACGCCGGGTGAAAATCGTTCACTTCTCCGCAAGAAGAGTCCTTCACTGAAATCCCTGAAGGGGACTCCTCGCGAAGCTTAGGACTGCACTAGGTCGAAGGAGCTCTCGTCGGTCTCCCTTCTTCAGAAGTGTCGGTTTCAGTAACAGAGCTAGCTGTTGGTTACAACAACAGAGCAGCGCACGGCATGCTTGCGGAGTGGATGTCATTCGTTTGAGCGGGAGGAACGCGAATCTATTCACAGCATGCAGCAGCAGTCGTGCGCCTGAAAACCAAACACAACTAACTTTCGTTGCTCGCTCGCGCATTCTTCGCAGGAAGCCTTTTGTTTTCTGTTTTTGTGAGAACAAAGCCACCCTGCGTGTAACCTGGACCCCTCCGGCTGATACGTCAAACATGTACTACCTCGAGAGGAGTGCGTGTGTGTATAGACTGGCGCCAGAACGAATGGCATGAACCCACGATGGACAGTTGTCGCAAACATGAACTCTTTGGCGACTAGTCTAGCCGAGTCAGAAAAAACGTGGTGTCAAGTGTCAAGGCCCACGGCTGTCAATTGTCTGTTCATCGCGATCAACGTCGAGTCACGATGGTGACAGGAAAGGAAAAGAGGCGTTCTTTGAAAAAAATGTCTACATGTTATTGTAAGAATAGAACAGAAGTCAGTATTTCACTCACCCCCCTCTCTCTTCCCCCCAATCTAGACTCAAGTGGGTTGGCGCTGTTGGCAAAGCGCTGTAAAACACGCCACCCCAAATATAGCCCCCATAGAATGCGCTACCAAAGACGCGTGACGCATGGATGCGTGGAGTGAGGATTGCTTACGGAAACCTCACAGGTTGAGTGATGTAGGAGATTGCCGAACACATAGACGTGTTGAGTGATTGTAGCTGTCTATACTGAAACCCCACGGGTTGAGTGAGGTTTGAGATTGCCAGACACATAGACGGGTTGAGTGGGGATAGCTGCATACTGAAACCCCACGGGTTGAGTGATGTTGGAATGCCGGACACATAGACGCGTTGAATGAGGATAGACACATATTAAACCTCACAGGTAATTTGTATTGGAGATTGCGAGATACCTACACGTGTTGAGTGAGGATAGCTGCATACTGAAAACTCACAGATGCATTGGTCTTTGAATTTGCCAGACACATAGTCGCGCTGCGTGGGGATAGCTACATACTGAAACCTCACAGGTGATTTGCATTGGAGATTGCCGGACACATAGACGCGTTGAATGAGGATAGACACATATTAAACCTCACAGGTAATTTGTATTGGAGATTGCGAGATACCTACACGTGTTGAGTGAGGATAGCTGCATACTGAAAACTCACAGATGCATTGGTCTTTGAATTTGCCAGACACATAGTCGCGCTGCGTGGGGATAGCTACATACTGAAACCTCACAGGTGATTTGCATTGGAGATTGCCGGACACGGACGCTTTGAGTGAGGATAGACACATACTGAAACCTCACAGTTTGATTTGTATTGAAGATTGCCGGACACATAGACATGTTGAGTGAAGATAGCTGCGTACTGAAACCTCACAGATGGATTGGTTTTTGAGTTTGCCAGACACATAGACGCGCTGCGTGGGGATAGCTACATACTGAAACCCCACGAGTTGAGTGATGTTGGATAGTGCCA